TCCAACATCAACTAAGCTACTCTACTTTTTATTGTTGTTACATGCTGTGGAGTCAACTACAACTTATGGCCACCCTGTGAACAACAGTTCTGAACCCTGCCCTATCCTGAGCCAACCTCGCTGTCTCTGACATACATGGCCGCATCACCACAGTCACATCTCATCCAAGGTCTTTCTCTTCTGTGCTGACCCTCCTCCCTTCAAAGCATGACATCCCTCCCTTTTTGGCAACAGCCCCAAATTACGTGAGATGGAGTTTCAGAATCCTTGCCTCCAAGGAGCAGCCTCCAGGACAGTCCACGGGATGTTCAATACTCTACTCCAGCACCATAGCTCATAGGCATCGAGTTTTTTTCTGTCACCCATAGTCCCTCTCCAGCTTTCTCTAGTAACAAACTGCTCTACTGAGCCTGGAATTCATTGCAGTTCTCACGTAGATCTCCCAGAACCATCTTCACGGTTACAGAGTTTATTAGGGAAGTTAACAGGCTATAGTGCAGACTGGCTGCAGGCTTCAGTCCAGACAGCTCCTCACGAATGGTCTCAGGCCTCATGATTTAGGTTAGTGTTACAAAAGGCTATTTGTTATTTGCTGTTAAGTCATAACCGACCCATAGCTGACCCTTCCTCCAATGAGTTTTCAGAAGCAGCAGATTGCACAGGAGGAGAAAAGTTCTTAGTCTTGCCAGTCATGGTGTCTTCCCTCAGTCCTCCAGCAAGCTGCGGGAAGGCCTCTGGCTCTGTTTTCATGGGGCAGTGGTCCCAGTTTAGCTCTGTCCCATGTTGGTGTGTGGCTCTCTGCTGAGGTGGCTGCTATTCTAGTGTAGGTCCTGGTCTTGATGGTGTAGGAATCTATGACCCCAAAGGACTTGAGCTGCATTCTCTGTTTCCTCTTTCTGGCTGGTAGTGAGGTTACCACTTTCACTGCTAAGCTTCCTCAGTTTAACTTGCTGGGATGGAAAGATCTGACCAATCCCATAAAAATTAGTGTGTAAACACCCTTTTCTGGATTTCCACCCAGTCATGTAGGACAAGTCAAAGTTGATGCCTAGGAAAACCATCTTGTACAGTAATAACATCCACAGTTAACATCGATATGAAAGCAGCAGGCTATGCCGGGTCAAGTCTCAGAGCTCAGAGTTGCATTGGCAGAAAGAATTGGCAAGCTACTTCTGAAAAAGTAGCCAATGGAATGAAATTCTACTCAGACACATGCTTTCACGGCAGCTGGTATTGGATGATGGATTGGTTGAGGTAGAATCTGGAGATAACTTTGCCCCACAGAAGGACAAGCCAGGGGCAGGAGCAGGAGGCTGAAGGTGGCCAAGAACTGACTGGGCTTCGCTGCTTCGAGGGCCCTGTCTCCTGGGATGTGACTGATGCAACAATCTATTCCCTGAATCTCTCCCCCCAACACTGGGATGAGACCTTCACCTGAGGGATGAGACTTCTGCCTCTCTCCATGTACAGCTCCAGAAGATTTCTGGTGTGAATCTTTGACAGGACAAACCGAGTACCCTCTACTCCAGAGACTGCAGCCCTTCCTGGCCCATCAGCATGTGACCAGGGCTCAGAGGTGGACAGCGCTCCCTCGCCTCAGTTTGGTCAGTACCTGTTGTGGGTTGCTGGTCTTGGGGGGTGGTGGTATGGCAGCACTCCCTGGTGGGAAGAACCAGTGCTGCAGATGCAATGAGGGTCTTGTAAGTTGGGACTTAGTTGGATGGTGGGTTGCCATTAAATCGGCCCTGATGGGGGCTGACCTCACGCACAGCTGGGTAAAACACTGCTCAGTCTTACAACTAGTGTAAACCACAATGACCACAGGGCTTTCATTAGCTGACACACACAGATGATCACCAGGCCTTTCTTCCTAGTTCCATCTTAGTCGGAACGTTTCACTGAAACTTCTTCTGCATCACACCTGCCTCCACCGACTGGTGCTGGCTGCTCCTGAGAAGCTCTGGCTGCCAGGAATCATATTCACAGCTGCACACAGAAAGGGAGTTCTGGTGGATTAATGGAAAGGACTTGTGTTGCCAGTGCAAAGGTTACATGGTTCGAATCCACCAGTTGCTCTGCAGGAAAAAGATGGGCGATCAACTCATGTGTAATTTACTGCCTCTAAAAACTCACTGGAAGGTATGCTATGAGCCGGTTCCAACTCTACAGTACATACCACCACAAACAATTTGCATGGAAGATGAAGAGCTGCTAATGCTTACTCCTGTCCTCACATTTGGAGGGGCGCTGTCATTTATAAATAGGTAACCCCCAATTTACAAGGAACTCTGATGTCCTGGTAAGGAGCTGGATTGCCAACCAAAGACACACAGTTTGAACCCACCAGTTGTTCTGTAAGAAAAAGATGGACAATCTCCTGTGTGATTTTACTGTTTCTGAAAACCAACTGGAGGGTCAGCTGTAAGTCCTTTCTTTGGGCAAATCAAATAAACTAGCTTTGGGCGTGTTGCTGGGAGGGGCTATTCCTTGGAGAGGGACATGATGCTGGGAAGGGTGGAGGTCAGCAAAGGAGAAGAAGACCCTTGACCAGGTGGATTGACATGGTGACTTTGGCAATGGGCTCCAGTGTGTCAGGAAGTGGGAGGACGGCGCAGGATGGGACAGGGTTCAGACCTGTTGTTCATAGGGTTGTTATGAGTACTCGACTCAACAGCTCCTCACAACAAACTGATTTATAAAGAACCTTCCAATGGTGCCATTCCATTGTAAGACAGTTCTGATAGAAATCAAATACTTTTTAAAATTCTGGTTTTCAGCGAGCTCTGGTGGCTTAGTGACAAGACGCTGCAATCCCAGAGGTAAGCGGTTCGAATCCACCAGATGCTCTGCTGGAGAAGGAGGGACAATCTCCTCCTGTACCTGTCAGATCTGCTTTGACGGTACACACACACACAAATTCAGGTTTTCATTATTACTTTTTGTTGTCAGTCTCTTTATAAAGGGAGTCCTGTGGCCTAGCAAGACAGACGGTCGTGCTAATCTTAAGTCAGTTCATCTCTAGTGGTTCAAATCCACCAGCTGCTCTGAGGAAAAAGGACAGGCAATTTCCTCCTGTGTGATTTACAGCCTCAAAAACCCACTTGAGGGTCAGCTATGGGTCAGTTTTGACTCGACAGCACCTAACAACTTTATAAATCAAAACATTGACCATCTGAGAGAGGATATCCAAGAATGATATCCTCATCAAATCATGTCCTGCAGTGTTCTATGACAAGACACGTGCCCCCTGGGGGTGTGGGGGTAAGTCCTGCTCAGGTGTCTCTGTGGTTGGTGCCACCCTCAGTTCTCCCTACCCTCATCTCTACTCTGTATCTCCCCCATACCTCCGCCCACCTTCTCTCACTTTTTGCCTCCCTCATGCCTTTCTCAGGTGAGGTGGAGAGGCTAGAGTTCCCTTCCTCAACAGGGCTTCTCCCTCTGCCAGAGAGAAATCCTGAGTGTTGGAGTGTTGCTATGGGCTGTCCCCAGTGAAGCCATGCACCTGGTCCTGGGGTGGGCTGCCACAGCCCACATGACTGAGCATCCATCCCAGGCCTCCTGCAGAAGAGCAAGCCTGGGCGATGACACAAGGGGTCCTCATTCTTAATTGCTAGATGTTGGGTCCAGTCTTCTCTCCGACAGCTCACTTGGGATAGATAACCTTATGCTGGTGCTGCTTCTTCCTGGCCACATTTGTTCGTGAACATCAGTTTACCCATCTGTAAAGTGAGATAAGGAGGCTTGCTTTGGGGGAGGCAGTGGGAGAGGCCTCAGTGGGGGGGTCTCAGGATGGGTGACCCATGCCTGCCCATCCAGAGAACAAGAGCAGTGGGAGGGGACAGAGGGCTTCTGCCCAGCCTCCCATAGCAGCAGAAATCAGAAAAACTGAACAGCACACATTCAGATGATTGCCCTACAATGCTCAGCACCAACTGACAAAACAAAAATGAAATAAGATTTCAATGAGCAAGTGAGACAGAATGAAAACTCTGACAGAGGAGAGAAAGGAGGCCCCTCGAACCATGTTCGGATCCAATGGAACCTCACACAAGCAAGGGGAAAACATCCAGACACTTTCATTGATCAGCGCTATGAAGTGGACAGGCCAGAGCAAAACAAGGTGAGGTCAGCAGGTGAGATATGTAGGGGTGTGGTCACCACAGCCAGAGGAGGGTGTGGTCAAGTGACCAAGTGGAGCCAACCATTACTAAACCTCAGATCTCTGAAGCAGCTGTTGTGGCTTGTTGTTGTTAGGTGCCATCGAATCGAATCTGACTCATAGTAACTCTGTGAAACAACAGATCTGAACCCTGTCCTGTCCTGTGCCATTACCATCTCTGCCACACTTGAGCCCATTGCTGCATCTACCAAGCCATCTTGTTGAGGGTCTTACTGGTTTTCGCTGACATTTCCAAACATGATGTCCCTCTTCAAGGAATAACCTCTCTTAGTAACATGTCCTGTGTGTGAGGAGAAGCTTTAACATCTTTGCCTCTGGTAGCTTAGTGGTAAGGAATCACTGCCAATGCAAAGATATGCGGTCCGAATCCACCAGCTGCTCATCCAGAGAAAGGTGGGCAGTCTCCTCCCGTGTGATTTACTGTCTCTGAAAACTCACCGGCGGGTCAGCTATTGGTCTGTTCCTACTCCACGGTACACAACCACCACTACCACCACCACCCACCACAAGCCAATGAGGGCTGTGCTGAGCGCAGAACTCATGTGCATTGCTGGGGAAGTTCTTTCCGCTTTCATCAATTTGGGCAAGAACTAGGTGATTGGCTGCACCCGTCAGCGGATTGCAAGCAGTCCACTTGATGTTCTTTCTTTCTTCAATTGTCTTTTGCAGGCTGACGACGGACCCTGGAGTGGCTTCAGTCAGTTGGTGTTGGGTTTTGGTGCGGTGACGTTGCGGGGCCCCTGCGCTTGGGCCCCTTCCCTTTGTGACGCAGCCCCTGGGGTTTGGGAGAGGCGGGCAGCGAGGACCACCGACCCCGGCCATGGCCGAGATGCAAGAGTTGTTGCTGCAGCTGCAGAAAGATAACCGTGATGGGCGACTGCGAAACCAGGAGCTAGAGGAGCTGGTGCGGGGTCTGGAGGCTGAGAACGAGAGCCTCACCGGGCGCCTGCAGGACCTGCGAAAGCGCGAGCGCAGGTGCTGGAGCGGAGGGTCGCGGTGGGGCACACAGGGCCCAACGGACGGCGTCCCAGTCGCGATATTTCTGTCCTCTGCAGCCTGCAAAGGAAGCACAGCCATGGGGCGCAGGCCCTGCGCGGAGAGGCGCGTGAGGACGCGAGAGAGCGCGCGGAGAGGGCGCGTGGGCTGCTGGAAGCCGGAGAGCAGCACAAGCGCGAACTGGTACAGAGGGGAGAGCCTGGGCCGGGTGGGACGGAGCCTGGAGGGGAGGGGGGCAGTAGGCAAGGAGATGGAGACACGTGGAGGGCGGGGTCGAGGGCGTCCTGGAGGCGGGGACACGTCGTGGGGGCACGGAGGTACGTAAGCGGGTGAGGCCCAAATAGTACTGGGGCGGGGCCCCGGAGTGGGAGTGGCCTTCGTAGACAGGGGGCGTGGCTCTAGCTGTACAGGTGCAGAGAAGGCTGCACTGGGATGAGGTTGACTGGTAGAGTGGTGGGGCCAAGTGGAGGGTCGGGCCAGGGTATACAAGGGGGCGGGACCCTAGCGGTCAGTCCAGGGCTGTGTGGGTCGTACCTGGCATTGGAACTGCTAAGTGTGGGAATTGGTTCTCATGTAGGGAGGACAGGAGTGGAGTTGCGGCGTGACTTAGTCCCTTCAACCCTATTCACAGGAGCTCTACAACCAGCAATTGCAGGAGCAGTGGGAGGAGCTGTCAAGTCAGGTACACAAAGGGAAGTCCTGTTCTGTCCCTGGCAAGCCTTTTTGATTCCCTCAGACCACATCCTTACAAGTCCCATCTCTAGCTCTTCTATTATGGAGGGGAACAGCTGAATCAGCAGCGTGCAGAGCAGCAAATCGGAACCCAGTTGGTGGAGCTGCAGGTGCTGGGAATGTCTGCGGGAGGGCAGAGCAAAGTCCAGCGGGGCCGGGAGAGAGGTGTGGGGGTATGAGAAGGGGTCGCGAGGCCACAGTAAGTGGGCATGGAGGCGGGGCCGGAACCTAAGAGGGGGCAAAGCGGAGGCGGAGCCGATACGCTGGATGGGAGGGACGGGTGGGTTGGATATGGAGCTAATCAACTGGGCAGTGTAAAGAGGAGGCGGGGTTAAGAAACTTGGCGGGACGTGACTGGCTTCTGACTTCTCTCGACTCCCACTGAAGAAGCAGCTGGAGGCCATGGAAACCAAGTACGCTGTGCAGGCAGAGGAGCTGCAGCAGGTAAGCGTGGAATGGCCTGGGTTGGAGAGTTGACGTCCAGAAGAGGAGTGGGCATTGAGGGGTGTGGCACCCTGGTGGGGTCCGGGCCTCTATGTCTGTGCGCCAGAGCTGACCTGACTCTTGCACCCCAGGGCGCACGGTGGATGGAGGAGGCCTGGGCCAGTTTCCAGGAGCTGAGTGGAGTCCTGCAGGTGCCGCGCCCCCCCCCCCGCCCCCGGGGAGGCGTCCCCACCACCCGACCTCATCCCCTTCTTCAGCGCTGAGTCCTTGTCTTGCCTATCCTCCAGGAGCTCCAGGAGAAGGTGATGGAGGCAGCGGCTGTTTTGGACGCCTCTGGGAGCTGTCTGGAACCGTAAGGGGGGGGGGTCTGGATAGTGGGGTGGTCTGGGTCGCTCTCGGTGGGGAAAGAGTGCCGACCTGGAGCCCACTCCTCGCAGGTGGACGTCTCAGCCCCGCCTTGAGCAGGACAGCGCCAACTCGCTAATGGAGGAGGTGGCAAAGGCAGACTGTGTGAGTGAGGGCCAGGATGCAGCAAGGTTCCAGGGCTTCACTTATCAAGGGGGATTCAGACGCCGGGCAATTCTGCTGTACATGGTGGCTCCTTAGGACCCACCTCTTATGGCGGACCCTTGCTTGTGGAAGCCACACTGCTTTTTGGCCACTCCTTGGGGTGTGGGTCCCACACTCTTTGTTGTATGAGTCCCCCTAGGGAGTATGAGCCCCACTCTGAACTTTAGCACCTTCTGCCTGCAGGAGATTGGCTTGTTGGATGCAGCAGACATCAGGTGAGCTGCATGCGCTGGCGGCTGCATGCGGGAATGCTCATTCGGGCTGGCCAGGGGTGGTGGGCCACTAGCGCTCCACCCTCCATCCACAGGCTGGGGGTGCTGGGCGCGCTGCACACACTGCTGCTGCTCCCGCTGGGCTTCCTGGCGCTCCCACTGCTCTACCTGGTGCTGGTCAACTCGAGTGGGCTCCGCCTTGCGCTCCCGCGCCTCTGCTCGACCGCTGCACTCCGCCGACTACGCTACACGCTGTCCCCGTTGCTCCACCTGTGCCCACGTGGCCTACTACCCACTTAGTGCAACACCCTCTGAACAGCATCTTGTCTCCGCGTGGTCTCTGGGGCGCCATGGGGGAGAGGGAGTGCGGGATAAATTCGCGGGGAAGTTAGATGCCCTCCTCAGTGGTGTGTGTGTGGGGACACGGACAACAGAGGCAGGCGTGTGGTGTGTGTGTGGGGACACGGACAACAGAGGCAGGCGTGGTCCAGGCAGCTTGGGCTGGCTTTTTGCAAGGCGGCCTATTTCTGCACACCCCGAATCTTTGATCTTTGTATCCTCCTTCCACCCCCGGTCTATGGAGTGCTGCTGGTTGGAGACTCCTGGTATTCAGATCATCTTCCGCGAGTGTCTTCCTCTTTTCAGAGTGCAGGTCTTGGGCTTCCCTGCCGAAATGCATTCCTATATTTTAAAAATTTATTTTGATGCAATTGTAAATGTTGTTGTCAGAAGAATCTTTAGAAATGGATTTTAGGAATATTTTTTTAAATGATTTTTTATGCAACATAAATTTACAGCATATTCTTTCCATTTAGTTTTTACCCCTTTACTCATTGTTGCACATTTCCCTCCCTGCCTACCCCTCCCCCCTAGTTTGTTTTTCTCTTTGACAATTTTTTTATGTTACCTTGCAACTTTGCGAAATGCACTGATTAGCTCTAAGAGTGAATGTATTTGACTTCTTTAGTTCCCTACATATCAGGTCATGCTACAACTGTTGTTTGTTGTGTGCTGTCCAGTTGGTAGCAGCTAGTGGAGGCAGCTCTGAGCTTTTGGGATTACAGTGTGGCTTCTTCTCTTCAGGCCCCAAAGCTCCCTGTTACTTCACAGCAACCCATAAACAACAGCTCTGAGCTTTGTCCTATGTCTCTGACATATCTGACTCCATTGCCAGATACTTTGTCAATCTATCTCATCCAGAGTCTTGCTCTTCTGCACTGACCTTCCACCCTTCCAGGACTAGTCCTTCCTGGCAACATGCCCAAAGCAAGCTATGGGAGACAGAGCCTCAAAATCCTTACCTCCAAGGAGAAACTTGATTTCACCCTTTTCATACAGACCCGTTTGTTCTCTTAGCAGTCCATAGTATGTTCAATACTCTTCTCTAGCACCACAGCTCAAAGGCATTGATTCTTCTTCTATCATCCTTAGTCGTTGATTTCGTTTCCGGAGGCTTTCAGAAGTGGATGCCACTCCTGCTTCCAAACTTGTTTTGAGAGTTTCATCAAACATTGTCCACCATGGGCAACCATTATTGCATTTGACACATCAGTGTCTGAGTGTTGACCATCACAGCAACCACCAGTTACCTCTGTACAGCGAATTGACATACCAGTGCTATACTACTTAGAAGACTGAAAACAATTAAAACCAGGCCCAAGGTCCCAAATGCCTTTTTAAATATGAGGCTAAATTCAATCAGCTCACACCCAATTGTGGGCAACAGTCCCACCCAAGCCTCAGCCAAAACAGAAAACACACCTTTACAGAATGCAGCTCATGGAGCAGCTAGAGGCCTCAAATCTTAATGTGTTCGGGATTGTAGTGCAGCTTCTTGCCACGAGGCCACCAGGGCTCCCTCCAGCTCACTTTTCTATCTATTTTAGTCATGCCTTTTTAAATTCATGTGCATAATTACTTTCTATTAACTAGAAATTGGGAATGTTTAGTCTATCAATGTTTATTTAACATCATTAATGTACATAAATTTGTCAGTTTCCTCATATAATTTTCCTTTGTATTTTTGAAAAACACCCCTAATCCTTTAATTCACATACTAAGTTATCATTTCTACTTTTATTTATATTGCTCAGGCACAAATGTACTTGGGTTGGCCGTGTTAATTCCTTACCATTAAGCCATGGGTGCTCAGTTCTAGAAATTGATCAGAAGTAGACAGTGCTGCTCACTCAGCCCTCCTGTTCTTTGTATATTTATGCCTCATTTTTCTACTTGTTCTGTCTTTCAGATGACTGACAGGTCTTTTTCTCCACCTGTGTTGTCTCCGCCTATGTCTTAAAACCAGTATTTTGCTTTGTCAGTTCATTGTGTTTAAAGTAAGAGGGTCTCTGGGGCTAGGACTGGTTGAGCCCTAGGTTAGGCTGCTGAGTGCTTTTAATAGACGTTTTGGAGTCCCAGAGCAGAGCAGAGCAGAGCAGAGCAGAGCAGAGCAGAGCAGAGCAGAGCAGAGCACCTGAATGTGAGTAAGGGTGGAGGAGCACACAGTGATCTGGGCTCAGGTGTGAGAGGGCAGGGAAGAGTCTGAGCAGCGGCAGTCACAGGGAAGTGTGTGCAGAAGGGGCCATGTATGTCAGTGTCATGGAGAGGGTGGGTAGTTAGGGAAAACAAAGTTACTGGTTGTACATTTGGGCTACAGTGCATTACGCATGTGAAGTTCGTCTTCCGAACTCCAGTGGCCTTGCTATTCAATGCATGTTCCCTGCCCTGTCTGCAGTTGTCCCACCTTTCTCATCTGTGAATAGAGATGGACATTCCTAGTTTGTGATGAGGGCTGTGTGGTTATCAGCTCCTAGCTGGAGAGGAAGCATGCAAGGCCAGGCTGCTAGGCTCCATGTGAGAACTAACTCTGCTGTCCCTGAGAGAAGGGGGCCTGGGCCTCTCCCTCCTGTGTAGACTTGGTCAGGAATCCCCCTCAGCTGGACATCAAAACACAGAACCATTTTAGGTTTTTATTTTGTCCAAATTGGATATAATTTTTTAAGTTGGGGTTTTTGGACACACACACACACACACACACACACACACACACACACACACACCCCCCTTTAGGTACCTATGAAATAAGACAGGTAGGAATGTGTCCAGTGCAAACAAAGTATACACAGCTCTGCATCAACAGTGACATCAAATAACTGTCACTACTCCCAAGCCACACCTGTCATGCCTAAGGAAGGACCAGACTGCAAGTGGGGTGGCTCTGTGAAGAAAAACCCACCAGATGTGGGTTCTGCCCGCTAGTACACCCCCTGCACGTAGCTAGGAGGCTGGCCTGCAAGGTGTACACACAGGGCTCATGGCTTCAGAGGGTCCACAGGAGCGTGCATGGTGCTGACAGACGTGTGCATGCAGCCAAGTGGCTCTGCTCAGTAGGGAATGTCGTTCTGATAGTACTGGATTATGTCATAGGTCCTGCTCCTGCAAAGCGAGAGAGCAGAGAACGTTGGTTAGGGCGCATGGTCAGGATCCCTCTCTGTCTGGGAATGTGAGTGCCCTGGGGACTTGCCCCCTCCACTCCTTGATCACTTTCCCTCAAGCCCTGCCCAGTCAGCAGATCAGCACATACTCTTCTCGGCAGCCCTTCTCACCAGAATGGCACTGTAACTCCTCCAGAGGTGCCTAGCACTTCTCTACTTTGTACTTCTGTTTTCAGGCCTCACTGTTCCCCCACCCTCAGGAAGGACTGCTGGGGCTGGTTCTTGGTCTGGCAGGTCCCTGCTTCCTCACTTCTCTGGGTCCTGATTCACCTAGACCTCTATGTCTGCAGATTCCTCCTCAGCATCTTCACCCCAACTCCTTCTCTTCACCCTGCCTGCTGGCATCCTGCTCACCTGGCTCCTCTGGTCACAACCCCAATGCCAACTGATCCCCTTCTCTTTCCTCATAACCCCTCACTATGGTTCTGCCATCGGTGCCTGTACCCAACCTTCCCATGGCCTCCATTGTCATGGTCCTTTGCTCAGAGGACAGGCTGGTGTGTGAAAGGGGAGCAGGGGACCCAATTTCAAAGCATCCCTCTGGCCTGTCATGAAGCCAGATCCTCCTCCACCCTCAGTCCCCTGCCAGGTTCACCTGACCACCCTTTGGCCCTGCCCTCTGCTGCTTCGGGGGTCTCCCACCTGGGCTCCATGACACGCTGTCCTCTGGGTCTGGGCCAGATGCTCAGGGTCAGGTGGGTACAGGGGCCAGAACCAGGGCTCACCTGTTGCTGAGGAAGCAGTTCTGGATGATCTTCATGATGAAGTTCGCAGCTTCTCTCTCGGTCATGTTGGGGCTAAACCTGTGCCTGGCGGGGTGGTGGGAGGAAGACGGAGTCAGTTCTCAGCCTGGGACCTGAGCTTCATGGTGGCTGACCCACTCTGCCCCCAGCATGGTGGACATTCTCTTGGGGATAAGTGCTTAGAATCTGTGAGCTGAGCTCCCTCTGAAAGGCTACTGTGGTGGCCTGGAGTGAGAAGAGTATTCCCAGCTGACCCGCACAGGGCTCTGCTCCCCCACAGGGTAGATTAAGCATGGGAAGACAGTAGAAGCTGGAGCTGGAGGGTCCAGGGGCCCAACGAGACTAAAGGTACTCCAGGAGTCTAGGCTGGCCATGGTGGGGCCGTCCCACATCCGGTGAAAGCCCCTGTAGTCTCTACAAGCTTCAGGGAGTTCGTTCCGCCTTGAAAGCAGCCACACTGCTGAGCACCCAGGATGCAGCTGTTCTCACTGGCACCATGGCTGAAGAACAAGCACCACCCCCAAGCTGGTGAGTCTGCTGGGGACCTACTTCAGGAGCTTGATCGTCTGGCCTCGGAAGCAGGGAAGACCCGTGTCCAGCATGAGTGTGACCAAAGAGACGACAGCATCCATGTAAGGCCTACGGGGTAAGGGTGGATAAGGAAGGGTGGGGCAGCAGGGTGGCAGCCAAGCCTTGCACTGCATGTGTCTGAGGGTCTCCCTTCCCCCTCCACAATTCCCTCAGCACTCACCACACCAGAGCTTCAATTCCCAAAGCCCCCTGACACCTAGTGGGCCTTGGTCAGGGAGTTCTGAGGGCTGAGACCCCTGGTGAAGGAGAGGCCTGAGGAGCACAGACCCCTGTGGAGACCTCACAGTAGAGAGTTGATCCTCTCTCAATAGAGACCAGGCCTGTGGGGTACAGACCCCTGGGGAGACCCCACAGTAGTAAGCTGACCCCCACAATAGGGACTAAGCCTGAGGGGCACAGAACCCTGTGGAGACCCCACAGTATAAATATGACACTACCACTCCTCTGTAGAAGAGAGGCCTGAGGGCATGGAGCCCTGTGGACAGGCCCTGGTTCCCTCTCTTGTTGGGCAGTGGTCTATGGCGCACAGTGCCACTAGCTCTTGGCAAATCCTGGAGGGGCAGTCCAGGTGTCACCACAGTCCACTGTGGCCTGGATAAGGGGGTCCTGGCTGTGAACCCAGGACAGTGACTGCCTCTGGTGGTCAGCACAGCATTTAATGACAATGTAATGGACCTGGCTGAGAATGTGGACAGGAAGACCGCACTCAGCAGCTATCGCTGGCCCAAGGCAGGGGCACAGGAAGCCTGGCCTGGCACGGCTGCCCACCAGGCCCTGCTGTGTTTTCTCTGCACCTTGGTGCATGCCTCTATTTATACAAGGTCCCTTCACAGCACCGTGGTGGTCACCCAGGGTAGGCCCCTGTGTGCTGGCCCTTGGATTGGAGCTGAGCTGCCCGCCACTCCCCTGACCCTGAAGCCTGCCCTGTGGGAGTCCTGCTGACTCAGTACTTGGGAGCCTTACACCCGACCCACTCCAAGGCTTACCTCACAGCAAGGTAGCCACGCACGCACATCTCCATGAACCACTTGAAGGGCGTGGCCTCCATCTTTCCACCCATGATCATCACCATCTCGTCCGTCAGCTTGATGTCTGGCTCCCAGCCCAGGTTGCCACCAGGGGAGCTTTCAAACATGAAGCCAAAGTCTGGAAAAACCCCAAAACTGCCTGTGACTAAAGGGGACCCTCTTTCTGGAGAGGAGGGCGCAAGGCACTGGGCAGGCTGGTGGTGGGCTCCCAGGACTGCCAGCCCACACCAGGAACAAGCAGGCCACAGGGTCGTGCTGTCGATGGGGAGGAGAGTCCAAGCTGGACATGCAGTCTGCTCCCGGCAGCCCTGTCCTGCAGCTCTTCTGGGTGAGAATCTGAGCTGGCTCAGTTGTGGACAAGGAAGTAAATGGAACAGACTCAGATTTCTAAATGTCGGTGTGCTGGAATGCTAGCTAAGATGGGAGAGGGGGCACTGGGAAGAGACACAGCAGTCCCGTCTGGAACCTGACGTGGGTGAGGTGAGGGCTGGGGTGGCAGTGACACATTCAAGGCCTAGCGCCTGGAACATCACTGAGCTGGCACCACTGTTTTCTGTCTGGAGATTTGGTTGCTAGATAAACACACACTGCCGCTGTTTTCTAAGCACTTCTAGTGAGTTTCCAGCAGGGTGCGTCTCCCTGAATTTTCCTGTTGTGGCACATCCACCTTTTACAAAGTTAGGCCCATTCTGGTTGTTCTCCACTGGACCCTCCTTGACAGGGGGAAAAGGGTTCCCATCCACCCCCAGGGACCCCACGGGGACACGCCTGCTGCGGGGGCTGCAGGGTAGGAAGAGCCGCACGGTGGGGACTGACCAATGTGAATGATATGGCCCTTCTTGTCCAGCATGATGTTGCCATTGTGCCTGTCTTTGATCTGCAGCAGGAACAGCAGGAGACTGTATGCGGCCATGCTGCGGATGAAGTTGTATCGAGCCTGGTAGGAAAGTTGGAGCCAGAGTTGGGGGGCAGACCTAGGAACACTGACCTCCGAGCTCAAGATCTGGCTTGCTTTCCTCAGTGGAGTTGAGACTCCTCTGAAACCCCAGGAAGCCTGGCTGGTTCAGCCTGGACATTATAGTACCTGCTGGAAGGCCAGGGTAGACTCGTCCCCATACTGGCGTGTGAAATAGTCGTACATGCCAAAGTCAGTCTGGCGGCCCAGCTGGTCTCTGGAGGTGCAGTCAGGGATGCACTCAATCACCCCGCACTGAGGAGAAAGGAGCCACTGCTAAGGCCACAGGGTGTGGCACTGGGCTGGGTGGCTGGTGGCAGACACTTACCCCAGGGGCTGTGGCGACTACTCGATAGGGGAACACAAAGAGGTCCAGGCCCACCAGCTGGAAGATGTTCTTGAACAGGTCGATGATTTGCAGGGCCAGCATGTCCTGGGAATGAGCAGGGCAGGGGAGCCATCAGCGCTTCATCCTAGCCCTGGCTGGCAGGACACCTGCCTGTACCCACAGGATGTGTTTGTTGGAAGAGCCAGCAGGAGGCAGGACTAGGCTTCCTGTGTCTGATGGAGGCCCGTTGAATTGAGGAGGCATACCCGACTCTCCATTCTGGGACACCAGGTGCCTTAGTGGGACACCCTCCTTGGGGTGCCCAGGGCCTGGCTCCCTACCTGTCTGCAGTCATCGCCGACTTTGAAGATGGCAGCCTGCCAGGAGATCTTTTGAGAATCAGTGTCTGGCATACCATTTTCCTCAGAGTCAGTGGCACACCGCAGCCCTGGGTGAGTGAAGCAGGTAGACTCCTGGTCACTGATGAGAAGCCTGTGGGGGTGGGGGGGGCAGCCCTAGCTGGAAGCCCTTAGGTGTCTCTACTAAGCCCTCAAGGGACCATGGGGCAGCCAGTGGAGGGACTCCCAGAGCTAAGGATTATTAGAAGGATACTTCAGCTCAAATGGTGCTAAGAATGCAGCCTGCGGGGCTCTGAGTTAAGTGTGCTGAGGTCCGTGGCGTGCGCTGTGCAGTGCAGTGCAGAGATGTGGGTAGACCGAGGTTCACTGAGTGTTGTTGCAACAGCAACTGAGAACCGATGTCCTCTCAGTCTCAGGACTGCTGGGAGGGCTGGCTGGGCACATTTGGGGGCAGCCCCCCATCCACATGTGAGCAGAGACGGTTTCTCTAGCAAGCCAGTGGTAAAGGAAATATCCACGAGAAACCAGTGGGACAAGAGAGTGCTGAAGACTTAGACAAAATGCAGAAATTCCCGCTCACCTTCTTTCTCAAGTTCGCTTACACCACACCGTTTCACCTTGAATTTGGCCAGGTATGGGGCCTTTGCTGCACTAAGGGGGACAGAAGACATGGTTTGAGCCCCGGTGCAAAAAAGAACCCCACCAGAAACAAAGGTAGGAGGAGTGGCACTGCACCTCTGCATGGGGGTCCCAGATTTGTAGTCAATGTCCAGGACGATGGCCTCTGGGTTGCTGGGCAGGTAACAGCCTGAGGAGGGACGAAGCAGTCATGGGATGTGTGTGGGCCAGCTGAGCAGGGTTGGTGCTCCCACCCACAGACCACCACAGCTGTCTTCCCTCGCAAAAGTGCTGGTACTCAAGGGCTCTGGCACCTGGGAATTTTGCTCCATGGTTTTTACAGTGAGCATCACTGGGGTCCCCCTGACAAGTGAGCCATAGCCCCAGGAGGCTGGTCTCTCTAGCAAGGGCACACTGCGCCCCTGGGCCTACTAGGTCCAATAATTGGATTAGGGCCCCTCGCTCATCAGGGCACCCTTTTCCCATCACACAGTGCACTGTTCACACTCACTGAATGGGCAAAGGGGCAGGATGACCATTAGTCTTTAGGGAACTCATCACCAGCTAAGGGCCGGCTAGTCTCCAGAAAGCTGCTCCCTGAGGTAGCCATGGTGACAGGGTCCTGGACCCCCACAGGGGCAGCCTTTGAGGGAAGACCTCGCTGGCTGCCAAGGGCCACTGTTCCCTGCTCCCCTCACCTGTCCACCCCAGGGTGGGGCCCTTCCACCACATAACTCTCCCCTTTTCTCTTCTTATCTAGGACTCTGCTGCCTCCTCAGGCCCAAGTGCAGGGTCTGGGTTCAACTGGCCTGGAAATGTGGCATCTGTGTGCAGGCTCCCCAACCTCAACTGTGCATTTCTGTGGGGGGAAGTGGGGGTATCCGGGAAGCTGAGCTCTTGAGTGAGCTGGGGCAGGAGCTTAACTTGGTCATAGTCATCACAGACAACGTGATATGGCACAGTGGGCTGTGAGGGCGTGCATGGATGCTGGCCATTCACAGGAATAGGACACGACCAAATAGGAGTGGCCCGCTCCTGGTGGTGGCCCACCCTTGCTCATCTGTGTAGCCTGCCCTGCCCAGCTCCAGTGCATGCTGGGGTCTTTTCCCAGGGAGAGCTGCAGTATGAGTGAGTTGGCCGTGGTGTCAATGTGCTAGTGGCAGTGTGGGTGTGTTGGCCGCAGTGTGCCGACGACAGTGTAAGCATGCTCTGCTGGCTTCAGTGTGCTGATAGCAATGAGTGTGCTAGTGGAAATGTCAGTGTGGTGGCCAGCAGACAAAGTGCAGCATGCTTGCCACTGGGACATTCCCTGCTTGGCAGAGGCCCATCCAGAGAGATGGCCAAGGCTGGGCTCTGCCTGGACAAGAGAGTGTGAGGGAACTTAGCCTCAGGCCGCCACACTCCTAGGACCAAGGATTCCACACCTGTGTCAGGTGCCTGCTCACCTGGCTGCACCTTCACCTCTGACAGCGCAGATAGACACGCCTTCTTCCTCTCATCACCTTTTGGATAGGGCCTGTGGGATGGGACAGAGGTGCTTCTTCCAAGGCTCCACCATCCTGGCTGCCTTCTAACAGTGAGGCTGCTAGCCCAGCTCCTCTGCAAGCAGACACCCATGCCCACCCTCCTCATCTGAAAGATGCACCCCACAGCTCTGCAGGGGCTCACAGGACCACTTCTGCTGCCTTAGGTACATGGTGGGGGCACTGAGGCAGGTGGCTTTGGGTTCAACATCTGGTTGTCATGTGTGCCCTGTGACCTTCTGTAGGATCGTATAGATGAGCTGGCACCAGGTAGCCCTCACTGGACGGAGAGCTGTTTAGAGCTGCCTTTCTGCCCTTTACTCTCTGTGAGTTATAGGCTGCTGGTGCCACCTCTTCTATGTTACGTCCTGCCCAGAGAACTTGGGCTGGACAAATGCTGCCATGGTTGGGATATGTTAGTGTGCGGCCCCAGAAGGAGGCACTGCTGAGAGAACCTATAGGCCTCTTCTCCAAAGAGAAGAAGATCCTCAAGTAGAAGGACGGACACAGTGCAGCAGCAATGGGCTCAGGCAGGTCCCAGATGATGAGGATGGAGCAGGACAGGCCAGGGTTCAGGTTTGTTGTTCAAAGGGTGGCTATGAGTCATACTAACAACCTAATAACAGTCACATGCTGGGATGCTCTCTGGGACTTTGTTTATGGCTAGTGACTCCAGGACTTGGTCCCTTACAGATGGTGCCACAGACGTCCAAGAATGGAGCCAGAACCATGTGAACAGAGAGTCTGGGGAAACGGGTCTGCAGAGGAAATTTGCTTTTCCTAAGAGCACCAGGATCCTTTAAAACTCAGTGAGCAGAGGGGCCTCTAATCAGGCCACAAAATGTGGGTATGCTTTCAGAGGTCAGCTTGCACAGCCATGCATTTTCTGAGACCCCAGCTGCTCCTCCACCAAGCAGGACTCCAGTCCATCCTGGAGCTCCAGAGGGGAACACTATGTAATACACAAGACAGGCTGGCCCAGACGCAGACCCCAAGGCCATGTCTCAGCCCTGCTGCTTACTTGATGATGGCCGACACATTGGTGATCTTGTTGAAGAAGTCGAATTCCCGTTGGTAGAAGTCCTTGGCCGGGCCTGACAAGGAGCCTGTGATCTCCTCCACCAGCTGCTCCAGCAGGTCGCCAATGTCCGCTGGCGAGACACAGAGAGCTGACTAGCGGTGAGCATATGGACGCTCAGTCCAAAGTACTGCCCTATGCCATGGTCTGTGGTTCTCAGAGTGTGACCACGGACCACAAGACACTGTTAGGTGCACTGGGTTAAGTACAACTCATAGTGACCCTGTGAACGACAGACCTGAACCCTGTTCTGTCCTGTGCCATCCTCACAATCCCTGACATTTTACCCACTGCTCAATCACTGAGGAGAAGTACACCTGGCTGAGGGCCTTCCTCTCTTTCCCAGAATGATGTTCATCTCTAAGGAATAGCTCTCTTAACAAAGGAATGAAATCAAGGATGATGTTATGTGCAGTCAAATCACCTGTGACCCATAGTGACCATATGTACAGCAGTTCAGAAGCCTGTCCTGTCCTGAGTCTGTCTCACTGATTCTGACACACCAACTACCACTACGCCAGTTAGTGTATCAATACATCTCATCCAGGGTCTCCCCTCTCCTGTACTGTCCCTCCACCCTTCTGACCATGATGTCCTCCTTCAAGGCCCAGTCTCTCCTGGCTATGTGCCCAAAGTATGTGAGACAGAGTTTCAAAATCTTAGCCCCCAAGGAGAAACTTGGTTTCACTCTCTCCAAAACAGACCTCTCTGATGCATAGCAAATAATTGTGAAGACCATGACCTGGATTAGGCACACTTTAGTCTCTAGAACGGACATCGTTGCCATGAAAAAAGCAAAAGGTCATTATAAAGACAGAAGATAAAGAAAAAGCTAAAATAGATGTAAGAAACTATGAAATTGCATTACAGAATCCAGAAGCCAAAACAAAGGGAAAAGATGAAGTCTGGAGAACAACCACTTGGCCAACTGACTGGAAGAGATCTATACTTGTTCCCATTCCAAAGAAAGGTGACCCAACTGAGTGTGGAAACTACAGAACAGTGTCATTGAT